GTGATTAAACTCTTCTTTGACATTATATATAATTTTCAACTTTAATGTATTTTGATGATTATATATATAGTTAGTTATTTCCATAAATGTTAGTGATTTAATTCTATTTATAATACTTGATTCTATTTTAATTGATAGTATTTTCGTTTAGGATCTAATGTTTAGTTGAAAAACAATCTATAAACTTGTATTGAATAAAATTCATTCCATGCATTGTTATACTTCAAATATATTTCAATACATAAACTGCTCTTTAATACTTATTTTTAAGGTCGAATGATTTAGTGAATAATTGAGAAATTATTATTCAGTGGATACTCTTAGAAATTTTATATGCAAGAAATCAATATAAAGAAATATAAAGATGTTGCATCTACTTCTAAAGAATGCATTTCTATATATTAAATCATTAAAATACAAATGATAATGAATGATAATGAATGATAAAATTCAATACTAACTTTAAATCATTGCATTTCAATACTTTTATTATTTTTGTATCAATCATATTTATTATTATCAATTTGATAAAATCTCAACCCTTAAATATATGTACAAATGTCATTGTTTTTTTTAGATGTTTTAATTAGAATAACAAAAATTATAGTAATATTTATTCATCACTATTTATACGATCAGTTAGTAGGCTTGTCAAAGAGATCAACAATATTAAACTTAGTAAAATGATATCTAATAACCTATTATTAAAGTGGATTTTATTATTTTAATAATTAATTATTTTTATATTATTATGAAGATCGATATATAAAAGTTTATATAATTTAAATATTTATAATAATATATCATATGCTGAAGTACAATGGAGTGATAAAATTTTAATTAGCAATTAAATCGTGTCAAATATTACAGAATTAACCTATCTTATTAAAAATTAAAAAAAAAGTAGTTAGATAGATAATTGTTTTTTAATAAATAATTATTAAAGAGTCTTTTTTTTTTATATGGAAAAAATAAAAAAATTACTAAAATATAGTGTTTTGGAAAAAATTATAAAAATATGAGAATTTTTTAAAAAATTGCTGGTAGTAATTTTTGACCAAATATTTTTAAATTTTTTTAAAAATGTTGATAGCAATTATTTATTTATTTTTATAATTTTTTAATATATTTTTTTAAAAATCACCGGTGGCGATTGTTAAAACTTAGTAAGTTTTCATTTTACCAATACTTACATTAAAAATTGCCATTTAAATTTCATATTTCTATAATTTAAAAAAAAATACTATATATATATATAAATATTTTAAATTCCATATATAAAAAATTATTCCATTATTAAATATTTATATTTTTTAGTTCAACAGTGATATGATTTGATTTTGACATGCAATGGGTAATGTTGAATTTCATTGTTATATATTAATTACAATTATAAATAATTTACCTTATTTTTTTTTAATTTTATTGAAAAAGTAGTGAGATTTTTTTTATCATTTTTTATAATTTTTTAATTTAAAAATAAAGGAAGGTAATTTCTTTTGAAAGCATTACATTTTTTAGTGTTAATAAAACATAATAAAAAAATATAAATGTTTTATTTTTCTGTTTGGCTTTCAGTCTATTATAGAATGTCATTTACTAAAAATAATAGACATTATGATCCTTTTTGTTGCTCCAACTTTTATGAATTAATATTAATAATTGTTGATTAGTATGTTGCCTCATATTCACCAGAAAATTAAATTTTAAACGACAAATACTATACAAACACAGCTAAATGAATTATTTAATTGCTCGCATACGATTTTTTTTACAGTGTTGGAAAACAAATAATATTACGAGTAAAAGAAAAGATTTTCTTGGTAATATTAGTAAAAACGTCTCAACTTTTTCTTAATTATAAATTATGCCAATTTTTTTTTGTATGATTCTTTGGAACAGGTAAGCCATAGATGAAAGAAAATTAAGGTGTTGTTTGATTTTATAAAAGAAACTTTGCTTTTATATTTAGTTATAAACATGGTACATTATTTTTAATTTTTTAATATTTTTTATTAAATCTTTGAAAAAAAATAAAGTACCATTCTCTAATAAAAACGATTTTTCAAAATAAATTATCTTTAATGGATTGAATACTCTTTTCTTTAAAAGTGAGACTAAATTATAATAAATGAAACATTAAGGGTTAGACTAGAAATTTTTTTGAAACTTTAAAGTTAACGTCCAATAGAAATTTTTTTTTACATTTAACAGAGCGCAAATTCAAGACTTCATTTATTATTTTGTAATAAGATGAATGCAAGTTTATTTTCTCTTTCTAAAATTTTATAGAAAAAAAGAGAGGTTATAATAAACAAATTTCAACGTGATCTCAAAGAAATTAGAATCAACATGTTTAAATATTGTGAAGTCTGATATGCATATATAGGTATTTTGAAGTGTAAGTAAAATTTAAAAATATGTAAGATATAGTTGTATTATTATTGTTAAATAATATTAAAGTCGTATGTCTTAAAAAAAGAAAAAGTATAGTAAACAATGCATTCATTGTTAGTAATAAAAAATTTATTTTATAAGAAGATTGTTAATTACATAAATAATATTTAAAATAATGAAAAAATATTAAAATAAAACATTTTATTTCTATGTTTATTTATTTGACAGCGATATGTGAAAAGTTGATTTTTTTTTTATTAAAATCAAATTATATAAATGTAAATAATAGTTTTGAAATAGATAAAGATATAAAAAAAAAATTGGAATACTTGTTACGAAAAAAATATCATGTAGTTAAATAAAAAAAATGTGCTCAAAATGCTCTTATTTTAAAATAAATATTTAAATTTTTTATTTCAGAAGGAATAATAATTGAGAAAAAATTTAAAATATTGTATTGTTTTTACTATATATATATATATATATATATATATATATATATATATATATATATTGTGTGTGTGTGTGTGTGTGTGTGTGTGTGACACTATTAGTCGGCAGAGCTATTAAGATGACTTGGTCCATATAATTAAGAACCCAACAAAGTTATAGTATATCAATATTATTAAATAGTATTAGTAAATGTGAAATTCAATAAGATTTGTGGATACTATCGCTTTTACAATATACTTGAAGTATTTTTCCCTTCAAGATTTCTCTAGAAACAAAAACATAAGATCATTAAAATTGAATGGTTCAAATTAGTCAAGTTGACAGTCTTATTATTAAAATTAAATTAGGTAGGATAAAAAAATAATTAAATAATTTTTTATCAGGTAAAATAATTCTATTAAATCAAATAACTTTGTAATATTTTATCATAATTATATTTATAAGAAAGTTATTTTATCATAAAATATATCCATAAATCAGTTATTAATTTTTTAAAATTTATTTAATGATTTTATCCATAATATTCTTTTATCTATTTATTATATCTCTTGAGATTGTGCTAATTATTTTCTTTCTCCTTAGTTTTTCATTTGTCTTTTTGTACACATCTAAATCGCATAAACTAATTAAAAATATTAAATGATAACAGTGATAACTGCATTTAATTAATGTTTTGTACTTATGGTTGCATTGATTTAAACTACCTTCACCTGCTTGATTACTTACGAATTGACTGGGTCGTTAGCATACTTATTTGCTTGTTATTTATTGTTTGAATGTGGATGTTGAGATGAGGATAATATTGGTTTAGGGTTTAATTAATTATTAAACGTTGATGGACTACAAAGTTGTAATTTTTCAACGATGCAGCCATTAGTTGTATAGCATGAGATCAAAAAAATAAAAATTAAGCATAAATTTTAAGTGTTTATGGCAATTGTATAATAAATATCTGAATTTAAAATTATCACATGCCATTAAAATAAAATTATAATATTAATAAAAAACAGTTTTGAAAATACTAAAAAAATACATCTAAATTTTATCCTAATTTAGTTATGAGTATTATAGCACAAGACAAATGAAATTACTTAAGCACAATTTTAATAATGAATAAACCGAATATATATTAATTTATAAATTAATCATAGTACCATCAGGTCAAATCATCTTCACCAGATCAATTTTAATTATCTTAATGTCAAATCATATCATTAACACTGCAAGTCCAATGATCTACAGCAAATTTGAATTAGTTTGTGGATTAACTTGACCTACATCTAATTAATTAATCTAATAGCAATTCGAGCACTAAATTGAATTGAAATGAAATGAAACATAAATAAATTTAATAAGGTTATTATTTTATTGCATATAATTTATATTCTGTTATATTTTCATTAATCATCTTATTTATTAAATGATAAAATAATATATTTATTTTTTCGTTTAATATTTCCTTCATGTAGTATTATAATGATTATTAAGAATACAATGTAAGATCATATAGTATTATGCTTATATTATTTGCATATGATAATTGTATATAAATGAAAGAAAAATAAAAAAGAATAATTTTACTTATATTTTTGAAACTCGAAGGGGAAAAAAAGAGAGACGTAGAATAAAATAAATTAAATTATGTAACGCTCTTTTAAAATTTACATTAAATTTTAAATAATTCAAATAATTAAATTTAATCTAATATAATATAGTCTCATTTTATTTTATTATATTTTTAATTGATTCCAACATAGTCCCCATCTAATAATGACCTACTAGAAAAAGACCTATGAATGTTAGATGTTAATTAAAATGACGAGCTAGATACATCATGTGACAAAATTTGTGCGTTGGACCCTGTCCATATGTTTTTATTCTAGTCATAGTTCATTCCAAAATATAAGCCAAGTCGAAGAATCGAACTTTTGCACTTCATCGCGAATAAAAGCTAAACCTCGAATGTGACTCAAATTTGAAATACATAGGCTGCTTATATATATACATACACGCATAAGCACAAGTGACCCCATCTTACCCATGAAGGGTGCAAGGAAATTAAGGAATTAAGAAATAGACCAAAGTTTTTTTTTTTTTTTTTTTTTTTTTTTTTTCCAGTTAAGAGGAGGTCACATATGGAGGAGGCATATATGGGGGATCAAGACAAAGAAAGGGGAGGTGAAGAAGTGAAGTACCGTGGTGTGAGGAAAAGGCCATGGGGTAAGTTTGGGGCAGAAATTAGAGACCCAACAAAACCTACGGGAAGACAATGGTTAGGGACATTTGATACAGCAGAAGAAGCTGCTAGAGCTTATGATCGTGCAGCCATTGCTTTGAGAGGTTCTCTTGCAATCCTTAATTTTCCCGATGAGTACTATTCTCATCTACCTCATGTATCCTCGTCGTCTTCTACTAATGTTGTTGGAACTTCTTCTACTTCACGATGGAAGGGAGTTATTGAATTTGAGTGTTTGGATAACCAGGTTTTGGAAGATCTTCTTGAGTCATCGGAAGTGAAGAAAAGGAATTATGAAGGCTAAAATCTTCAATCTTATTGAATTTGTTTATGAAGCTCATAGACCAATCTATGGGCTTCTTTATTTTTTAACCTTGTATTAATATTTGAATGTCTTCAATCTTCAGAGTCTTAGGGTTCAGATAAATTTCCAGAAATATTCAAGCTTTCCCACTTTTTAGGGTCTTAGTGGGATTTTCAAATATTACTTGTTGAATTTTGTTTTTGGCCAGCAAAGAGCAAAAGTTCATTACTAATTGAGTACCAGAAGTATTATAGCTAGAAGTAGAATTATAAGATCGTGAAGTTGTGTGTGCTTCTAATGCGCCCAACAAAACCATACGATAATAGCCGTTGTCATAATATATATTTTAACTGATTCGGATGGATTCCTGTTATCATGGTGCCTTTTTGAGAGAATGGTTGCGCGAGTTTTTCCATTTTGCATCTCAACCACTGTAATTGCATTCTGATATTGGTAGTATGTATAGCTAAGAGATTCGGAATTTGGAAAATTGGTTTCTCCAATGTGGTTGATTAATTTAGTAGGATTTGGAAGATAGAGACCTCAAATCTAGCAATTCAAGAGAAATTTACATACTTTTGAAGACAAATTCTGTGAGAGGTAAAAGTTATTGCAAGGGAACGAAGTTTTAGATGCAATACAAACATGCTCTATGTGTTGAGAAGTAAGCTGATTTGGATTTTTTATACAGATAATGGCACGCCATTTCAGTAAGTATGTGCTATGTGGTGTGTCTCATTTCTCTAATTTATTTAACTTTGGCGTTTGGCTTCGGATGAGTTCTGTATTTTGTAAACATTTGCATGAATATATGCTGGTTGTTGGTGGAACTTTGTATGTTATTACATGGTATTGTTGAACACCATTGTGCTGTGTGGTTCAATACTATTGTTTCCGAAAAGGTTCCTCAATAGCATTGCCTCTTTTCTCTTATCATTTCTGTTGCTAACAATTTCATGATCTACTTTTATGATGTAATATCTCTTTCCATGGTTTTAATATTTATTTTAATGGTAGGGATTGGAGTTGGACATTAATTTCACTTTGTTTAGTTCAAAGTTAATAGACCCGAATTATAAAATTTAGATTTGGTATATTTAAAAACTGATATTTCAAGTCACCTCAAACCGGTCTAATGCCTTATGTTGTTTTAAAATTTATACTTTTTAAAAAATCTATATTAATAATAAGACTTTATGAGGTAATGATAACATTTTGCATGCCATGATATTATTTTTATATTATTTATTTTAAATTATATACTTTTACATGTACTCAATTGTAATTTTATATTTCTTTAATTATATGATTTAACTGTACATAATATATTATTAAGATTGATATATTCTGTTAACAAATTGAGGTGATCCAATTTTATCTTATATATTATCGAATAATATATACAGTGATTAAGTCAATTTTAAATATCAATGTTTTGAATTGAATAAAAATAAATTCATTTTGCAAACCATCCTCAAACCGAAATAGTTGCAGTTGATTCTTACAGCTTCTGGTTAAACAGCATTGGTTATTTTCATGCATTGTTAAAATTACTGAAGTGATGTTTATATTTATGCATTGTGTTATTTCTCTGTTTTGAGGATAAATCGTAATTGTGAATTGTTATTTTTTATTTATGTATTTTTTATTTCCATTATTCTGCACATTGATATTAAACATTATCTTGTCCTAAAAATGTTTATCATCATTAATTAACAAGTCCCCAAATCAATGCAATCATTATTAGTATCAAGCTATAAAATTTACTTTCGGTGTGAGGCCTTAAATATCTAAGGTAGTATTAGACTCTAATTAAAGACTTATTAAAAAAAGTATGTTTTTTTCTTAATTTTTTTTATAAGATACGAACTTAAAACTAACATGATTTGATAAGTTATAAAAATCTGCTATGAGAAAAGAATTTATATGAACTAAAATGTACAGAGATAAAATCTCCAATAAAGAACTCATCCCTCTGCTGTTGTTTCTAAATCCCAGTGATAGTGACGAGGAATGGAAACTTGCAAAATACACTACTCTTGAAGTTAACATGAACAATATTTTTTAACAAGACAACTGAACATTAAATTAAGGAGAGGTATAAGGGACATTTAAATCCAAATAATGTTCCAATAATTTCTGTATCCCCTTTTCTTTACCATTCACGAATGCATAAATGGATGCTCCCTGCAAGAATTTTGTAGAGCCACCTCAGCCAGGAATAACATTTGTGCCAGTAATATGAGCAATAACTGACTACTACTTTTATTAGAATGAAATAATACGCATACCGTTATAAGAATAATATCGAATAAATTACAACTTTAGTTTCTAATTTTGTAAACTATCTTTAGTTTAATTCTTAACTTATTATAAGTGTTATTTTAATTTTTAACTTATTTAAATATATTTCATGTTAATTTTTATAGTCAAGAAAAATTAATAACAAGTAACAAAATTGCTTATCAAACATGTTTATTTGAATAAAATTAAAGTAGTAATTTATTTGAATAATAATCAATCATTAAAAATGTGTAAATACCAAAAATTGAGTTATTTTGTCATGCTTAGCGTGATCTTTGAATCTTCGTAAACGATAGAGGAACTATAAATACATTAATTGGATCCTTGCTAGGTATCAGGCCTAAATGTGATCACCCAATCCATAAGATTTGAAACTTTGTTTGAATGACTTATTTTGGCACATGAAATCAGCAGGAGATACGTTGAATTTCGTCTAATTGTCAATTTTTATCATCGACGTATTTAATCTTGTCAGAGAATAGGGAAGAAAATAGATTGTATTACGTCAGATTTTCTAAAGCCTCCGTTTAATATATTTATATTAAAAATAATATAAAAAATAAAAAATATTTATATTGTTTTTACTTTTTTAAAAAGTATTTATTCATAAACTTACCTAAACAGGAGGCAAAGGCAACTTAAATCCTATTTTATAGTAAGAGTTTTTAAATTAATTTATATGTCTAAATTTATATAGGTTACTAAACTTAAACCCATGAATAAGTTAGTGAATAAAAATATAAGTTCAAATATTATTGTAAAAGTTTAATAATAATAATAATAATAATGTTATTATAAGATTATTTGTATTATTTAAAAAAAGTTAAATATGTTGAGCTTAAGAAAGAGTTTTAAATGAGTTAAAGTTATTTTTAATTGAATAAATTTGTATTGTCTAATATAGGTTGGGTTGTTATCCCTGATAAGAAGTTTGACTTACTTTGATTCATAAAAAAGAGCGAGAAAGAATTCATACAAGTGTTGCTTATTTTGCTTGAATTCCAGTGCAGTAACGTATTGACCAGAAAAATAAATAGTAATTTTTGTCATTTTGCGGTAAGTTTGGGCATAGCCAATGGATATGAATTTGGCAGTTTAAGAGACATAATTGAAAAAAGAACGTAGATTCAGTTAAAGAAATATTATTAGCTGCATTATTTTCGCTGGCGCCAACAAGTTCATGTCCTTTGGACATTGACGATGACTTAGAAGGCGACTGAATATTTATAGGTGATCAGTATTTCTGTCTATAAAAGTTACGTTGATTGAACTCTGAATCTTCTTAGGTTGGGTTGCTTCCTTCGGATATGTCACTATGCTCATTAAGTGGCTGCAGGGCTGATTCTATAGCTTGTACCATGTCCTCCTTTTTCTGAATTTTAGATTATATTAATTTCTAAATATTTTACACATTTATTATAAATAAAATAAAAATAAACAAATAAGCAGGCAAATAAAAAGAAAGGAAAGTAATAATATTAGTTACTCTCACTGGTTCAATGAATTTGATCTAGCTAGCTAGCTAGATATATGTTTAAGTCGTCATGAATAAATTTGGTTTACTACAATGTTAAACAAGGCAAGTAGATATGGTATTTTATTCAAATGATGTACATAACTCCTTGAACTATTTTTTATGCAAACTATGTACCAATTGTTTAATAGTTTTCTAAATGTTTCAGGTTCTTCGTAATCGTACATTTGTAGATGCATGCATTGAGTAATTCTGGCTGCAAGTTGCATCTTCCCAAATTGGAGTTCTTTTTTTTCCCCATTTAACTCTTGTTGATAAACTACAATGAGTCAGTGCTAAATTTATCAGACGAGTAAATAAATCATTTATTTTATCAGAACAAGGAGCATAACCAATTTGTTTGGAATGATTTAAATTTACTTTATGTTGCTTCACTGTTATGCTTCTGTAAACGCTTTTAAAACAAATGGTGCTATTCTGTTTAAAGAGGTGATCCTTTTGCAAAGAAAATTCATTTAATTTTGATGATATAATTTTTATATAAATTCTCTTCTATGGGAATTGGGATCTTATAAAAAGCAAACATATACACGCTTTTGATAAGTTAGTGTCACGTTTAGATCAATATATGTCATATTAGTTTGCAATGTACGTATTAAAGTTTTATAATCATTTTTAAAAAATAAATTACAATTTAATCTATTTTATATTTTTATTAAAATACTTTTTTTAATAAAATTTTACACTTTTTTTTATCAATATTTTAAGAACTCAAACTCAATATATTTTTTATAAAATAATAAATATTTATTGTTTTAAAAATTTCGAAGACTTATCAATAAAAAATAGTTATAGTTATTATATATTCAGAAACAAGTCATCGATGAAATATAAAGTAAAAGGAAATCAGAAAAAACGAAAAGAAAATTGTAAGAAATGAATATTTTTGTGTTCTTAGAAAATGAAGAATCGTAAATGTCAGATTGTGAGATATTAAGACGAAAAAAAAATGGCTCCATTAAAAAAGAGTCCTTTTCCATCTATTGGTGTGACAGAGATATGTTGGTCTGAATGGGTCATTGTAGTTAAGCATCCGACAAAGTTGTAATATTTATTATTATTTTTAAGTAAATAATTAAAGAGACTTAAGTGGTTGAAAATATCCCTTTCATCAGTCTATACTATTTAAGTATTTTAATTATCCGTCAAGTTTCTCAGAGGATCCGAATCTTTTATAGCAGAGGGGATGCACTTTAAATAAAGAATTTTTAGATTCACTGATTAAAACTTTATGATTGAAAATTATCATAAATTTAAGTATATATTTAATAAATTCTGAAATTAATTATATTTTTAATAATTATTATTTGTATACTTTATTTACTAAAATGTATATTTTTATTTTAGAAGAAGGAAACCTATTCCAAATATATGATAGTTAAAATGTTCTAAAATAATTAGATTCAATTTTATATTTTTATATTAAAATTAGTATTTTAATTTTAATTTTTAGCTTAAACTATAAGTACTTTTTATTAGAGGGAATTTTGTTCAAATCAGATAAAATTATTATAAATAATAAAATTCTTCATTGAATATTTAATATACATAAAAGTATTTATTAGAACTCAAACTGAATACTACATGTTAAGCAAGAATAAATTTTTATTAATTAATCTTTTGTGTTTAATAATTTTATTTTAATCTTTTAATTATTTTTAAGTTTGGTTCTCGAATTTATTTTATTATATTTTGACCATTAAATAATTAAAAAAAACAACCTTCTCGCACTCCTATACTCTAACTTATGAATAATTTTATTCTTTTTAATTTTAATTATTTATATTTAGTTTTTTTTATTTTTTCAATTATTTAAATTAAGTCTAAGACATCAAATTTTATTTAATAAAATGAGTAAAAATAAAACAAAGATATAATACATCATTACTTTATGTAAATTGCAAAGAAAATAGTGTATAATTTATTAATTAAATTAAATAAAAAATAAAAAAATAATTATATTTTATAAACTTTATTTACTAATTTTTATATAAATAATGTATAAATTAACATTTTATCTCATCTCTATTATATTTTTCTAACTATTAAATAAATTTCAAAGTAAAACATATTAAATCATTGAAAAAAAAATTTGAATAATATAAACAATTAAAAATATTAACAAAAATTCACACAAAATCACAGTTACCTTGACAACCAATATAGTGACCACAGTCCAACTTTTATTATTGTGTCTTTGTCTAAATTAATGGGACTTAATTGGCGTCATTGAAGAATCATCATGTCGTTGATGCGAAGCAAATAGAAACACACTCTAAAAAGAGATAGAGGAAGAAGAAAAGAAAAATGTTTATTGGATAAAAAGATTTAAATGAAAAAACAAACTAAGAAAATAAAAAAAATCAAAATATTAATTTTATCTTAAAATAAAGTTGATCTTTAAAATATATAACTACCTTTAAACTTAACTAATTGGAACTCGGATCCCAACGATTAAACTCCCTTTAAAATATGTTTGTTAATTTATTATTTAATTTTTGGGTGCAAATAAAAAATTTCAAAGGAGGAAATGGAAAAAAGTTATTAAGGAGATGATGTTGAATCTCAAAATTGGCTAATATCATAGGAAAATGTTGAATGCAGCATTAAAGCTATGGAAATTAAAGTAGAGGAAGCGAAGATAGATTGTAAGTAGATATTATGAGTTGATAATTTGAATAGAGAAATTAAGAGTTAATTAGTGTAGCAGTTGGTGACGCTATTTATGTGTCATATCGCCAAATAATATATAAATTGTTGGGTGCGGGAAATTGCGGGGAAGGTTGTGACGACGCCTCTACAAGTTTTGGTTTCCTTAATTAAATCATTCCCATGTCAAACTTTAATTAATAGAAAATTATTCCTCATCATATTATGCTCTTCACATCTTGTACATTTGCAAATTTCGTGTTAAGTTACATTAAATTTTAATATTAATATATTAGGCTATTTTTTCATTATTAATTAATTAAAAATCATCTTAAATATTTATATTTAAAGACAATATTTTAATTAAATTCCTTAAATTAAAGGGGTATCAAATTGTGATATTCATATGATTTACGGTCTGTTTATTTTAGTTTTAAAGCAAGTCTACGATCCTGTTTTTATCTACAGTTTCTTCAGAATCTTTTTAGTTTATGAAAACAAATGAAATAAAATAGTTTGCTTTTCGATACTTGTATATTTAGTACAAATTTTTGTAGACGTTCTTATTAGTTTTTTTCTTTAAATTAAATAAACGGGCCCTGTTTATATATGGCATAAAAATTCAACTAATTAATATGAATAGTTTAACACAAAATAAATGAAATTTATTAATCAATAATCTTAATCACAAGTAAACAGAGGATGTATGATTGGAAACAATAATGAAAATTAATCGATCGAGCAGCATATTCCTTCCCTTATTTTTCTTTTGACACTTTAACAATTTTATCTTGTTCATTTTTTATTATCATTTTTAAAAATAATTAACATTTTTATAATTTTACATGTAATTAATATTTTTTTAGTGAAAGATAATAAATAAGTAAAATATAATTAACACAATAGATGAAAGATACAATGCAAAGTTAAATAATAACAATTTATAAAATTTAAAATATCCATCAATATTTTTGTTTCTTGTGCAAAACTTTTACCGTCAAAAAGAAAATAAAATGAGCAATACAATTCAGGTAAAATTAGTCAAAATGGATTGATTTTGATATTTTTAAAGGTTTTACTAATCACTGCTTTAAAAATTAATAAAGTTACATTAACAAATATTAAAAATTTTGAGAAAAATAATATGAATACCATATTTCAGTAAAAATAATTTATTTTATTTCTTCAACAATTATGAGTACTTGGTTAACCTTTGTCATGTCTTAAAAGACAAAATAATCATTTAACACTGCAAATCCATTGATCTAAGCCAAATTGAATTAGGTTGTTCTTCCTGATTTGGTACAAAATAGTCTAGTAACCGATACGCGCTTTAAGTTATCGCCACCCCACATTCACCTAATCGGACAATGTGCTCTGAATGTTCCATGTTAATGTTAAAAGTCAATAATACACATCATGTGACAAAATCTGTGTTCATTTTACCCGCCATGTCCACGTATTGTTTTCCAGTTAATATAAGCCGACTCGATGAATCGAATTTTTACACTTCCACGCGAAATTAAGTTTCTAAGAGTCAATCCAATAAACCCGAACAGAAAACTAAAATCGCTTAAAGTAGTGACATGACACAATTTTCACATAAAGGTTGTCTATATATACATACACGTATGAAAGGCATAGAAATAACTGACCCTACCCAGTTAAAAAGTGTAAAAAAGAAAGATCAAAGTTAATTTTAATCACCAAACAGGACGTAACATGGAGGATGCACGTAAGGATCAAGACAAAGAAGTGAAGTACCGTGGTGTGAGGAGCAGGCCATGGGGTAAGTTTGGGGCAGAAATTAGAGACCCAACAAAACCTACGGGAAGACAATGGTTAGGGACATTTGATACCGCAGAAGAAGCTGCTAGAGCTTATGATCGTGCAGCTATTGGTTTGAGGGGTGCTCTTGCAATCCTTAATTTTCCCGATGAATACTATTCTCATCTTCCTCATGTATCCTCGTCGTCTTCTACTAATGTTGTTGGAACTTCTTCTTCTTCTTCTGCTCCCCAGAGGGAAGTTATTGAGTTTGAGTATTTGGATGACAAGGTGTTGGAAGACCTTCTTCAGTCAGAAGAAGAGAGGAGAAAGAATAAAGACTAAGAACTGGACTGTTTGTTTTCGTTTTCCTCTCACAACTATTTTTCTTATAACATGATTTTAAATTTTCTTCACTTCATTATATCCATTGATTTAATAATAGAAAACAAATGGATGAGATTTGACTTGTAGACACTTACAAGAGAAATTGTTAGATAGTTCGAGATCATTACGTGTTCATAGCTCTAATCAATCATCCTGTAATATGTGTAAGAGTACTGATGTTTTTTTTTGTTAATTCGGCAATATGATCACATGTTATGGTTCTAAACTACTCAATAATTTTTCCACTAATAGAAGGTAAACATGCAATATTATTTGAAATTTACAGTGTAGTCCATGGGAAAGTGAGAGTTGCTTGTTCTTCTTATCTCGAACCGGTTCTCCTTTCGGATTTCATCTACTCTTTGAAAGTGAGAGTGGTGCCCATGGACCTGCTTGTTCATCTTCTCAGATTAAGTGCAACACCCATGTTAAAAAAGTATATAAACTGAATACCTTTACTATAAAAAGAGAAAAGCTACATCTGTCATGCCAATTGCAGTATCACATGCATAATTATGGATAAAGGGATTCATGTCCATTTCAGCAATCATAATCTTATCATCCATTGCACGAGAGCCATTTAATGCTCCGAATTGGGTAAAACATCACATTATCGCTAAAAATAGAAATAAAAATGATAATTAACTAAATAATATATATAACTAAATCTCTTTCCTTATTTTTAAATTTTTAATCTCTTCCACCGAAAAATTCATATGCCATTTTATCGATTTTTTAATTTTAAAAATATTTTAATTTATTACATTATTTATTTTTGTTGACTTCATTTATTTCACTTTTATGTTTTTAACCTTTTATATTCGTAACTTCTAAAATTTTCTCTTATTATGTATATTTTAATAATTAAATTGATATCAAGTGTATTTTTAACGCTAAATAAATAGTTTAATATTTCTTTCTTTAAGTAAATTTTATTTAGAAATGATCTATAATAATTTAATAACCTTTTTTCTTTTCGGTCATGAATTACTTCGTAAACTTAGTTACAGCAAGTTAACAAAGAAAACCATATTTGTTTTCGAAAGTAAAGAAAGCTTTGGTTTGTTTTGGTCAATAAGAAAGCTTTATAATTTTTGGTCGAATCAGAAAGCCTTGCTAAACTTTTATTTTTATTGACAGCACTGTTTTTATTTGGGTCAAATGGACAACCTTTGTTACACTACTAAACTTCAACACTGAATGGATAATATTTGGTCAACACAACATCCAATGATATTAAATTTAAAACGCGAGAGCCCATCGGTGCATCTAAAATATAGGGGGGCACTCATGAAAGTTGCGATGAAGAGGTTCCTCTTTTTGGTCGTGGCCCAGAACAGGTTTTGAATTGGCATCCAAGTCCAATCTTCAACCTTGTTGGGTTCTTTCTCATGTGGGCCTGGATCGGTTATTTTCAGAGAAGTTGCTTTTTGCACTTTTATTTTATTTTATTTTATTTTCATATCTATTAATTTAAAAAAAATATTATTTATGATGAATTTCTGGAAGTTTGAAAACTAAAATTTTGAAATTTATTTGACCTCAAAAAAATATTTCCAGAACTATAATTTTATAAATTAATTTTTGGAAGTGTAGAACTCTAATTTTAAAAATTTATTTATAAAAATATTAATAATTTTACAAATTAATTTATAAAGTATAAAATCATAATTTTAAAAAATTATTCCCAAAAAGATGTAAGATCGACAATAGTCAACAAAGATATTATCTTTAACAATAAATCAAGTTTTTTTTTTTTTATACAATTGAAATATCTAAAGAATGGCAGGATTAAAATACACTTAAAAAATGGTGACGAAGAAACAACAAAGCTTAGAGAAATAAAAAGGAAGAACAAAGTGTAATAAAAACCAAGAGTGAAAGTAATAATAATAAAAAACTATTCCAAAATATGAAACAAAAATAGAGAAATTTAGAGGTTGTTTAATTTCAGAAAATATTTTTTATTTTTATTCTTATTTAATTATTTAAATTTTTGTTTGAGAAATTTTGAGAAAAAATTATTGTAGTGTAAAAAAAAAAAAAAAAAAAACAGAAAAGAGGTGCCAAAAGTATACATTGCATAAAACCATAAAAAAACACGAAAGGGAAGAGAATGAACCAGAAGCCACATTCCACTGGTTTTGTATACATAAATTAATAATTTTTCTCTACTTTGCACGACAATAGTCTTTTTAAAATAGATAATTTAAATATATTGCATTATTTTTTTCAAAATTTAATAAATTAAAATGGTAAATATTATAATTATTAATAATCAATATTTTATTATATTAAATTATATATATAACAGATAAGCATCATCTTCTAGGGTTCAACCGGAATGGAAAATCAACACCTTCAGTTTCCACAAGTGACAAACTTGTGGATCGGAGCACCTTAATTCAGAAGGAAGTTGTAGAATTCTAGTTTATTAAGGTTAGGTGACAAGTCTCTTTCTCAGACCAAAGCTTAAGGAAAAAGGACGACAATTTTCTCTGTCAAAGATCAAACAAGCATAGTCCCTTCTTTAATGAAATGGCTGACCAAGTAAATGCTGTTTCCAACTGGAAAATTTTGTTCACAATAGAACATTCGATTTTTACCCCAAAAGAAAAATAAATCAAAAGTTGCTTCCATTGACCATATAACTCACTCGTAGAGGTGGAAATTGACGAAGTTAAACTTTACAAAACTTAAGTCTGACTCATTTTTTGATTAAAATCCTAAACTAATTTGCTTATTTGATATAGATTTTGTTTAAAGTTTGACTTGAAATTTTTAAAAGTTTTAATTTAATTTGAATGCTTATTAAATAACGTTACAAATATATATTTGAACAAACAAATAAAATTACACTTATAGGTTAGCAAACAAATATATAATATCAAAATATTATAATAAGCATTTAATACAATGATAATATTATTATCAGTATATAATTTGTATTTGTGTAAATATACCAACTTAATAAACTTAAAAAGTTTTTTGAATTGTCCGAAATTTAACCTTTTCTCAATTAGTCAAGTATTTTAGAAAGACTTAACATGGCTTGTTTTGCAAATAATTTTAGCCCGAACATAAGATAATTATTATGAAGAACCTGACCTATTTTATTATTATTACTCCAGCTTTCCTCTAAGATAATTAAAGGCTCATTAAACTAATTAATGATCAGAAGAAAGACACAATTTGAATGAGAAATGGCATTTTGGACATGCAAAGTTGTTGTTACTGAACTTTTAAATTAAAGCATATGTGAATATCAGAACCTCCGGCATAACCTAATTAACGAGAGTTTCCATTTTGATGAATGCCATTTATGCTAACCCTTGTGATCTTTCACACTTGATTAATTAAAGACTCTTGGTCAACTTTATAACTAAGGTACAAGAATACTAGTGACGTATTTGACTATTAAGTAATATCTAGCTCGATCAATATATATATTTTTTCTTATGGTTGTTAAGACTGTTGTTCATATTACAAAAATTTAAGAGCAGTATAAGTACGATATGGGTTGTTTTCCAGATCCATTTCTACAATTATTGTTAGAACAATGGTTAATTTAGAAATTTAAAGTAATAAAAATATAACATTTAAAATTATTAATTTATTTTCATCATGACCAACTGAAATAAATAATTGATAATCTATTATTTTTAAAAATATTAAAAATTATATAACATCCTCTCCCAAAACTTTACAATGGATAACAATTTAATACATTTTAAGTTTTTTGCTAAAATATTCTCAAACACTTGTTTGATATTTTTTTTTACTTAAATACTTATTTTTAATAAATTTTACACATTCATTGTCAATATTTCAAGAAGCTGAGTAACGTCCATGTATTTTCTCTTTAATGATAATGGACAAGATATAAATAACTTTCAACTTTAATACATAAAAAAAAGTAGAGCGTGGAAAAATTTTAAAAATTAGGACATATATACAAATAAAAATTAGATTATAGATTTTTTTATATATAAAAATCAGATTATGGTTTTGTTTCTAACAATTCTTTAATAGAAAACTTAAAATAGATTAAACTGATGCATTTTATTTTTTAAAAGAAAAAAAAATTTAAAATAGAATAGAGGGTAGTGTATTATATGCATATTTTTTGATTAAAAAAAAACAAAAAAATTAACTCAATAAAAAGCTTTAGTGGAATAAAACTAAATTTTGTCATATTTATAAAAATTTTAAATATATTTTACATATTTCTTAACCACTACAATTAAGATATCGTCAATGCTCTTATTTCAATTTTTAATTCGTTCGCTCTCTTAATTTTATTTTCACAATTTTTGTTTGTAAAAGTAGTATCAAGAATAATGACTCCCAGAAGTGCCAGTCACGCAGCAAATAATGTCTAAAATTGCTTGTGAACTACGTTTTCAAATTCGTGATTGTTAATTTAATTGATTTAAAGTTGAGAATAAAAATTCTAATAAAGTTATTTTTGAATTATTAAATGTTATTAAAAAAATATACTTAATTGATTTGAATTACATATTTTTATTGAAACATGTTTTTATTAAATTGCACAAGAATTAATTTTATAAATGTAAAGTGAACAAGACCGTAATCTCAATGATAATTACGTAATATTAGTTCACGTAATTACTTGCCGATGTATATAAAGCTAAAGTCTTTTTTTTTTCTCTCGTAAAATTCGTTTTCGTATAATAAACTTATTCTATAAGTAATAGAGGTAACAAACCATTTAATTGTTAGGGTTAATATAAGCTTTGACCTGATTTTAACTCATAAGAATTTGTTTGGATAAACTTTAACTTAGGTATTCTGATTTACATTATTTTTTTTTGTTTTGACTTCAGGATTTTTTTTTAAAATAACAGTGTATTTATTTTAATATTTAGATAGTTTTAATTAACAGCGAAATAAAAACAAACGGTAATGAAATTTCCAAAATTTTCAATTCAGATACA